TGCTAAGACTTTGAAGATGGTTCAACAGTCGAAAGGGATAAACTTAAAGGCAAAGCTTGGACTAGGGACACTTATTCATCAGTAAGGACTGCTAGGCTAGCCAAGAGGTAAATTTCCTTGCTTGTGGTGGTACATCAGACTCTGGCTCAATCTAGACTGGTATCCCTTGCCAAGAGGGTCGGCTCAAGTATTTGGTCAAGGTGAGGCATGTAGTCAAGTTGCATTAGTCAGATTCTGGCAGGAAAACAATCACTCCAGATGGTGCAAATAAAGACACTTTAAGGCCTAATTATAAAATTCTGAGCAGAATTAAGAACAAGGAAGGGACACTGAGTCACCAGAGACTAACAACAGCAGGAAGCCATCACTATTCTTAAGCCTCCAGCTCAGAGCTGGAGCCTTGGGGAGGAGCCTCCTGGCAGGAGCTATAGGCCAAGAGAGATACTGCTGCTTCCAGAGCTGAGCATCAACCAGAAGCTTCCACCCTCTTATCTAATGTAGGAGCTTCACCTCACATTGGCCTAAGTCAGATATAGTAACAAATATTTTAGGCTTTGTGGGACATACTATCCCTGTTACAACTTCTGTAATCTGCTACTGTGGTGTGAAAACAGCCATAGACAATACAGAGACAAAAAAGCATGGCTGTATTTCAATAAAACTTTGTCTACAAAAACAGGCCGTGGAGTGGATTCAGTCTATGGGCCAAAATCTAACCCAAAAGGAGTCTAGGTGAGGCAGTCTGCCAGAATCAGCCACTTGTGACACAGAACAGGGTAGAGAAGCAGAGAGAGCATGGCTCTGGGGCCAGGAGAGAGACACAAATAGCAGATAACCAGCACACAATTCTTCAGGTAGCCCATTTGGCATAAAGCAACAACTCACTCTTCAGGAGGGATATGAAGAACAATGTCTACTGCTCTTCTCCTTGGTGACTCTAGGAGAAGCTGAGCAGGAGGAAAAGACCTTAATCAAGGAAAATGGAGCTCAGGATGACATCCAGAGGTAAAACAGTTAAGCAGCCTCCAAGTTGAAATAAAGTCCTTAGTTCCCAATAAGTGAACCACCCACCTTAGGCCTACATGAGGAAACTGAGGCCTATATAAGGAAACTGACAAGAAAGGCTGCTGCTGAGTGAGCCTGGGGGTGTTTGAGGCTCAAGCTGGGCTAGTGCTTCCACATTTCTAACAGTTATTAATCTTTGGAATTCAGAAATGAGAAATCAGACTTCATGGGTATTGTCAGGAATTCTTAAAATCACAAGCTCTTCCTAAAATATTTCCAAAATCCCTCATACTCTCTACTCAGTACAGCTGATATCGGAAATAGATATATTTAATAAATAAGAATATTAATTTTTGTAATATTTTGTAGCTATTAGCAGATATTCAAACTGAAAAATGGCAACGAACATTATTGGGTGGTATTCAGATAATATATTTGTGTATCCTACCAAGCTTAACAGCATGACATAAAATCACATATAAAAATTGCCAATTTAAGGACTTATTTTGATCTTAAAATTTGTTATTTCTTGGAACACCACTCATAGGATTTGTTTAAAGTATTCTGTGTATATAAACTGCCTAATGTTTATTTTATGTGCAAGAATAATTAACCATTGGCAGCAGACAGGCCCACACCACTCACATATTAGATGGCAACATCTACAAGCAAGACCAACTGATTCAATTGCAACCATTTCTCTTCTGTGTTCCTGCCCTGAAACTGTCCACTTAACCTCCTGCTCAGAATTCCAGTGTTTCCTGCTCTTGCCTTCCATTTGAGGTCAGCAGATTCCTTACAACCAGTAACATCTCTTTGTTGATCGTCAAGCTTTAATTCTTTTGGGGGAATTATAATATTATCGCACATTTTTAAAATTTTTCTGATTTCTCAACTGATCTTCCTGTGGATCTTGGATTTGTGAAAATATATAAGTTTCTTGGGAAATGCTAGGAAAGAATTCCCACATGAACACATTCTACCAAGCCTAGCATGTGCAGGACTGATGGCGACTATGCTTGCTTCTACCCTAACCATCCATGAGATGGGTCTGAATGAACTGCCAGGCTGAACCTCATGGTTTTAGGATCTAGGTAAGCAGTTTAAGATATCTTTGTTCCTGTGGGGCTAGACCATCCATGTAAGGACCTGAATCTGGTTGATTTCAGGACTAGTCACACTATGGGTGTTAGACTTCTCGATCTCAAGACATTCTTGAAAGGGAGATTACAGAGTGTTACACTTTCCAATAGGCTTACTGGTAAAAATTTGGACAGAATTGCCCATGAGCCACCGTGCTAAGAAAAAATTCTGACCTGTATTCTTTGCTCAAAAATGGCTTGCCAGATCCTAAATATATGCTCAGTTCAACAACATTAGGAAAATGGGGATCACTGTAAATTTCTAAATGGAAAGCAACATATGCTTCATTGTTAAGAAGCCAGTTCTCTATATTAGTTGAATGTTGTTCCGTGTTTCCACCTATAACCTTCTCCCACCTCCTGGTACTTCCTTCAGTAGGACCCGAGAGCCCCCAGGTTACTTTTTAATCATTCATCCATTTATTCATTCAACAAATATTTATGGAGCATTTATTATATTCTAGGTACTTCACTAAGTCTCTGAAGATAAATACACAATCTTGCTGTCATGGAACTTACAGCATAGCAGGGGAGATAAGCAATATACAAATAATTATGCAGAATAATGACTTAAAGGATCTACTCCCCAGAAAGCACAAATTACAAACTATGAGATGTGCTATGAGAAGAAGTAAATCTTTACTCATTATTGCTGATATCTGAAAAAAAATGTCTTGCCCAAGATCATGGAATGTGGAGAAAGGGGAAAGTGCTTCAAGAAAAAGGAACAGCAGAGACAAAGGACTGAGGGGAGGAAGGTGCTCTGTGAGTTTTGAGAAAGTGAAGAAATCAAGTACGGCTGGAGTCCCTGGTGAAGGGCATGATAGACATGGAGAGGGGTCATGCAGACCCCCCTCCAGGGAAGAACTTGTGCCAGCTGTCAGCTCCGCCAACATCTACCAGGGCTAAAGAGACCCACTCTGTTCAAATTCATGCCTAGGGTCATACCCAAACACATGGTAGGCAAGACAGAAAGGCCTGAAGCAGGATAATTGTGATGAGAAAAACTCACTTTGGATCTCCCCACTATGTTGGCTAAGGCTTTCTTGGCCCTGCATGAAGCTCAACTTCCTCCTCTGCCCCATTCTGCTTTCTTCTCCTTTCCTTTCATAGGTACTGGTATTTATTAATAAACACTGTATACTCCAAACTCTGTCTTAGTGTCCGCTGCTGGAAACCCAGATGAGGGGAATTGTAAGATGAAGGAAAGGTAAGGAGGAGCCAGGTCATAGAGACTTTTTTTTTTTTTTTTTTTTTTTTTTTTGAGACGGAATCTTGCTATGTCACCCAGCCTGGAGTGCAGTGGCATGGTCTCAGCTCACTGTAACCTCTGCCTCCCAGGTTCAAGCATTTCTCCTGCCTCAGCCTCCCAAGTAGCTGGGATTACAGGCCCATGCCACCATGCCCAGCTAATTTTTGTATTTTTAGTAGAGACGGGGTTTCACCATGTTGGCCAGGCTGGCCTCAAACTCCTGATGTCAAGTGATCCACCCACCTCAGCCTCCCAAAATGCTGGGATGATTATAAGTGTGAGCCACCACACCCAACCAAGAGACTTTTTTTTAGCCTTTTTTTTAAATTGTACTTAAGTTCTGGGGTACATGTGCAGATCTTGCAGGATTGTTGCATAGGTACACACATGCCATGGTTGTTTGCTGTCTCCATCCTCCCGTCACCTACATCAGGCATTTCTCCCAGTTTTATTCCTCCCCAACCTCCCTGCCCCTTGCTGTCCCTCCCCAGCCCCCCACTCCCCAAAATACCCCAGTATGTGGTGTTCCCCTCCCTGTACCCCTGTGTTCCCATTATTCAACACCGACCTATGAGTGAGAACATGAGGTGTTTGGTTTTTCTGTTATTGTGTCAGCTTGCTGAGAATGATGGTTTCCAGATTCATCCATGTCCCTACAAAGGACAAGAACTCATTGATTTTTTTATGGCTGCATAGTATTCCATGGTGTATATGTGCCACATTTTCCTTGTCCAGTCTATCATTGATGGGCATTTGGGTTGGTTCCAGGTCTTTGCTATTGTGAACAGTGCTGCAATAAACATGTGGG